AGAGATAATTATTTGGGTCACAAAACAGATTGACCAATGTAACAAGACAACATAATTTCCTGTCTTATGTGATATAAACTACAGTTCAACTTTTGGTGGATGATGTATAAAGATTAGAAAGCACCAGTGACTACTTCTTCTTCCTCACAAATTAGTAAACCCAGGTGAGAAATCAAACCTTTATGAGGGCGACTTGTCTTTAACTTCCCCACTAAGAGAAAGTAATTGTAAAAGTACAAGAGAGATGCAAATATATTTGTCATCACTAGGTCTTCAAAATAAAGCTATTCAGTTCTGCTTCTGCCATTTTAATTGGAAGAATTAATAATACACAAACTCCTACTCAACACTTCAGCATACCAGTTTAAGAAATAAAGTCATCATTATAAAACATCATTTAGAAAACTGAGACTGAGAAGCATTACCCAGAATTCCCTACTATCTCAAGACTTCCTGAATCATAAACAATATCCAAACTTACTAATCACAAAGGCACATTCTCCTTATTTGTCAATTGTTGTACTGGATTTCACCAGATATATTTCGACAATTTATTTATATCTAAATGTTTCTGTTTGTCCCAGTTTTTCCCATGACACTTCAAAACTGTCTACTGCCCTTGCCAATTTCCCACTTTCTAAAATCGTGCATGACAACGACCCTGTCCTTAGAGCCTGTCAGCCAAACCCACAATGATCAGAGAGGAAAGACAACTTAGAAGCTAAGAACCCCAGCCCTGTAACAACACAGAAAAAAAATTGGGTTTTCTCCCCCTCTTCAACCAGTACTGTATATTTACATTCATTCTTCGAACTATATTCCTTACTCCTCTTGACTTCCCTTTCCCATTTTTAATCCTTTCTGGTTCATACAGATTGGCATCTGAGCTTCTGCACAGACAAAAAGAGGAGGTCTTAGCTCCACTTTATCAGTGAATGCTCACAAAACACGGTATGCAACAGCAGAGATCTAGTCCTCTGCAACAGCCTCTTGAAAAGACAGCTGAAGTGCTGAGGAGGTAGGGAAGGAAAGGAAGAGAAGTCACAGGCTTCCTGCTATTACAAGCCAGATTTAAACCCTTTCTACATCACAAGGGGCTTTGTTGTTGGCAGCAATGCAAAGAGCAGAAAATTTGGTTGATACAGAGTTTTCATTATGCTTAAAACACAACTTTTCCACGGTCAAGAGGAGGCACAATGGAAGAACGCTGTAGGAAAGCCACACTCCCATCACCAATGAAACAGATGTATGAAAACGTCGATTGATAGCATGGCCCAGCAAAGCCATCCTGCAAGACCTAAGGAAGGGGGCTGAACTTGCCCAAAAACTCCATTTGGAAAAACCTGTGCTGTAGACCATGTCTTGCTTTTTTAGTACTCTACTCTGGTTACCAGTGCCACAGCACTGCTACTTCCCACACGCCACCTTCACAACAGGAACAAAAAAATAATATACTTTTGTTTCAAACTCAATAACAGATTATAAAAGGAACATTAAGAAAAAAACCTAAACAGCCTTTACTGTAGTTAACTTAGCTAGAACTTTAACCACCTTAAAATTCACCTTAGCATTGTTAACTATCAAGCATATTAATTACCTGGAACACTTAATTCCATACAGTTCCTCAAATAATTAATTAGCTGGAGCGATCAAGGACTGCAATCCCTGAGGAAATTCTTCCAGTTTTGTAGAACTACAGAGATGTCACCTTGTTAAATGCTACAGCTTTACATGAGGCCAATTCACCTAAATGCATGTGATAGCTGTCCCTTCATCTGTTTAGGGGCAGAATCCTAAAAACAAAACAACTTTAAAAAACTGCCACACTCACTGAAGGAAGCAGGTACATTTAGCACTGGACATATTGTTTAGTCACCAGAAATTAGGAAGAGTATTTGAGTAACACTGAAGCAAAACTTTTCATTCCCTTGTTTGTAGTATACTAGTTAACTACCTTTCATAACAAGTATCCTCTTTCTACTTCAAACATCAATTATCACAGGGCAACCAAATCAAAGGCAAAGAAGTTTTAGCTGGGACTTGAAACTGTATTTCCTTCAAGCCATATGAATAAGCTACATCAACAGAAATAATTCAAAAGTAGTTACATACATGAAAATTAACATTAAAAAATCTCTCTATCTCCAGCACACTAGTTTTCACTATTTCTCTGCTGTTATTCATTACAACTGTGGTGTTGCATGCAAACAAGCTTATGTTCTAGAATGGCAGATAAGAAGATCAAGAGAATTAATGCTTTACTTTTCCTGCTCTTCCAAAAAAACTCTATGCTGTCTCTCTCACTTAGCTGAATACCACATCATTTTTCCACAAGGTAAATAGGACAGAAAAGGACTTCATTGGGCAAAAAGGATAGCAGGACAATGTAGGGAGCAGTTAGTTACTTTGAAGAAAATATAAGTTACTTAAGGACTAACATGTAACTTGCAAGGACTTCAAAACACTGAAAAGTGGCCTTCTCCCCACGTAAAACGTATGTTACCTACTCACTGTTTTGGGGGAAAAAAAACAACCCTAAAACTAGATGCACCACAACTTATTTATTGCACATTTTAAATGTACCACTTCTAAATTTGATTTTTATGCACCCGAATGTTCCACTTCATGCCACTCACAGAAGGCCAAGCTCAAAGGACCGACTGCAAGGCAATCCACCCTGGGATGGACAACCTATGGCTCCAGACCCACATGCAGCCAATTCAAGTGTGGCTCCCACACTGGGCTATGCCTTGTGAGTGGCAGCAGGGCTGTGCTGGCATCAGGCTGCTAGGTAATACAAATCCCTTGCTAGGAGGAGGAAGAAGCCAGCAAAGGCTCCTGAGGCCAAATTTTCCATGTTGCCCAGAAATCCAGCTGCACACTCAGCTCAGCTCCAACCTACAACACAGAAGTCAGATACTCAAGGAATGCACCACTGTTGCAAATCCCAGAATGTGTCCCAGGCCCTGCCTAGCAGGCTTTGTGTAACGGGCTTCTGGGCTCCCAGTGTGGCACAAATTTGGGTATGCAGGGCTCAGACAGTTATCTGGGTAGATAACGTAATACACCATTCATTACACAGCAGCATAATCTCTTTAAGATCATATGTATGCTTAGAAAACTTAGAAAAACTGTGCTGGTTAAATGAATTGATACTTTTAAAGGTGCCAGGGATCCCCAACTTCCACCTTCAATGATGAACTTTCTACTTAGCACCTCATGTTGAGAGATGCTACATCAAAATCAATTTATGCAAACCTTTTCAGTCACACAAGTCCTTTAAGAGGTCTTTAGTAACATGAGCAGCCAAAACAATGGAGACAACTCAGCAGCAGCAGGATGCAGGACTGAGCACTTTAAAGTTGTATTGAATTAACAAAAAATATTACCCATAAAGAGGAACTAAAAACACATAGCACAGAATGTAATTTCTAATTTATTATGAATCAGATTGATTTTTCTTCCAAAAGACCATGTACCTTACCCTGAACTAGCATTTTGGGATTAGGAAGAAGTATAGTCCAAGCTCTTCAGCTAAACTTTTAAACTCAAGACATTCTCAGTAAATCTGGGTAGATAACGTAATACACCATTCATTACACAGCAGCATAATCTCTTTAAGATCATACGTATGCTTAGAAAACTTAGAAAAACTGTGCTGGTTAAATGAATTGATACTTTTAAAGGTGCCAGGGATCCCCAACTTCCACCTTCAATGATGAACTTTCTACTTAGCACCTCATGTTGAGAGATGCTACATCAAAATCAATTTATGCAAACCTTTTCAGTCACACAAGTCCTTTAAGAGGTCTTTAGTAACATGAGCAGCCAAAACAATGGAGACAACTCAGCAGCAGCAGGATGCAGGACTGAGCACTTTAAAGTTGTATTGAATTAACAAAAAATATTACCCATAAAGAGGAACTAAAAACACATAGCACAGAATGTAATTTCTAATTTATTATGAATCAGATTGATTTTTCTTCCAAAAGACCATGTAACCCTGAACTAGCAAGCATTTTGGGATTAGGAAGAAGTATAGTCCAAGCTCTTCAGCTAAACTTTTAAACTCAAGACATTCTCAGTAATTAACTACTGAAAGACTAGTGAAACTCTCATCTTCTCAAAAAGACAGGATTCACAAAAGCCAGAGGATGCCAAGACAAAAATACTGTTTGAAAACAAGACAAAACCAGTAATACAATCTAAAGAAATTAAACACTGAGAATAAACTCTGAAATTCCAACATCTTCATTCAATTAGAATTAATTTAGCAGGTTTTTATTCACCTTGAAAGCATAAACTAACATGCTGAAGAATCTCTTCCTACTCTCTAGCAAGGTCAGATGAAAAGATAGCAGACACAAATCCTTCTCAGACAAAAGAATAGATTTCTGTTTTCCTTATCCTAATGCCATTGCCCACCTCATAGCTATCAAATAATTAACAGATTTTAAGTACAAACAAGAAAAGCTTTCAGAAACATAATTTAACACAAACATCTGGACAAGCAAACACAACAGGAGTGAAGAAAATCAAACCTATTCCACTCAAAATTCACAGTAGTCTCATTTTGTGAGGAAAGAGAAACAAAATCTTTACCTGCTCTAAATAAAGATAATTGTATTAATTTTGTACAGTAACAGAAGGCATGTTTACAGCAGTATGAATCAATGTGCTGTAGCAGAGGTAAATCAGTGTCAGCCATGTTGTGAAAGAAACTGCAGTTAAAAAAACAAAACACAAAACTTAAGCCTTAATCAAATCAGCTATACTGAACCTTAACATAAGTAATTTTGTAACATCAGCTCTCACTTATTATTGGTGCATGACTTCTTCAAGTTAATGTCTATTAACCTCATCTAAATATACACTTCCAAATTCTAGAGACAATGAAACAGTAGCGAGAATATGCCAAGATATAAAACAGCAGCAATACTACTCTGCAGTGCACACAGACATGAGGTAGGTTGTGAAGTGAAAAAAAAAAATGCACTTACTCAGCGTTAAATCCATTCACATGCAAGATCCTCATCTGTTTGACTATTGTGCTTTTACCGGATTCACCAGCACCTAGAAAATGAAAGTAAATCAATTTCAGAAGGAAGCATCAGTGATGAAGAGACACACTAGAATTTTTTCTTCAGGGTAAAACCAAGAAAGCTGGTTTACTCAGTGCAAGACTGAAAAGTGAAAGAAAAAGGAGTAATTGCCACTGGAAACTTCAGTTGTAGCTAAAAATAAATGCCCGGCTCAAGTCATGTGTCAGATCTGAATCTTGGATCATTTCACTGTCCATTTTTCTAGTGTCAACGTTAAAAGCAGATTGCAGGGTTTGGAAGGAAAAAGGACAACTTCAACCTTTCATAGAGAACAAGATAGGGATTGTCAAAGTCTGGTTGCATTCTTACTGCTATCTGACAGAGAAAAAACTGACTGAAGTCCATACTAAACTGAAGCATTTTTGTTAGATCCTTAAAATATTTTAAGTTTGGCTGTGGTTATCATCACCCAGTCAAAAGACTGGAACTTAAATCACAAGGAATAGAATACATGGATACTCACATGTGAAAAAGGAATGCATCCCCTTTAAGTCTCCACCCACAAAGCTACAGAAACCTCCGTCTCTAATTTGTGTCTTGTAAGCAACCTCCCACCCTCACTGCATGTTCCAAATCAATCACATCCGCAACAAAATGTATAGGCCACCTTTTTGTGGCCACATGCTCCAAAGACACAAACCCCCCAGCTCTTCCCTGATTCCCTCACATACCTCCAGTACAAAAATCCCCACAACACTCCACTTTACTCCAGTTTCCATAAGTAGATGTATGCTATTTCTGCTGTGCTGTACGGATGCCAGTGCACAGGGCAACCCATCTGCCTATAGTACTCGTTTTTCCATGCACGCTAAAAAGACTCAAGCAGCAGCATTTAATTGAGCTGCTCCATGCAGCCAGATCAGTAGCTTTCTCTATAAACCAAACATACTTTTGCAAGGGTAGTATCACAACCTGGCAAAATTTAGGAAGATTTCTCTTTGCATCTCCTGGCTACTCGGTTGTTCCTCTCATTAGCCTATGTCTCAACAACAGAAAATGTGTCTGTGGCAGAACAGGTACAGAGGTACAGTTTGTATTTATAGGATGCCAGGCCTCTGCTAGCACACACTGACAGCACAAGCCTCCATTTTGAGTCTCACGCTCAAGACTGTATTTTTGCAGTTATATTTCAAAGTTAATTTTCTGACAGATACATTCCACTCGGCCCTTCTTCTTTCCTTTTCTTTTTCCTCATGAATTCCTAATAGTCCTGCTCTTCTCTCCATAAAACCTGCTTGTGTATTTTGCCACCTTAATTCCAGAGCCTTACTCCTCCTTCCTCTCCTTGCTTGCTGATGTTTTGTAAGCACTTAGCGAGCAGTTTTAATCTACAATGTTTCATGCAAGCGCTATTTCTTCCCTAAATTACTATTTTATAACACACACTCTGTCCCTTCAGGGACACTGCACCACGCAATAAAGACACGCAGCATAACTAATCAAGACTGAGTGTCTCAAGTTAGGATAAGAGACCGGGTTCTCTTCACAACTAAGAATTCTTCAGAAATAGTAGTGTATGTTATAGTCATATATACAAAATTTCAGCTGTGACTCCAAATCACATCTTGTAAGCATTGGCAACCAAAATCTTTACTTCACTTAGGCAAAGAACAAGGGGAGACAGTTGTTGATTTTGCTATAAACACATACAGTTCAGTATTGACATACTCAGGTTCTCTGGGTCAGATACAACACCAGTGAACCAAAATGAAGTATTATACCTAATTTTCTGACAAAGCTTATTTCTGTATTTGGCTACTCATTAAGGCCCTACTGTTACCAACAATTATGAACACAACTTCACCACCAAGGAGAGTTCCGTTAATTTCATTGAGACTGTTTGTGGCAGAAGGAACAAGCATGTGTACAGCAGTGGAACCTATAAAGAACAGTATAAACAGCAGCTCTTCTCATTTCAACATGATGTGAAAATATTAAGAATGCTTTCAAAGTACTTGTTTTTTTATTTCATGGCTTATAAAGTAAACCTAACATAATAGGGATGTGAGCTTTTTTATTTTTTACTTCTGAGTTTGTTACCAACTGTCCACAATTCTTGACAGTTACTGTTAGAAACTGCAACAGCTGAACTATCACTTTAAAACACACGCACACATATGACCTTAAAGCCATAGCTAAACACCCACATATTTTTATTTATAAGCATCTAAACTATTTTTCAGCCACAAAAACTAAAGAAAATAGAAAGAAAATCCAGATAAGCCCATTATGTTTCTCTTTTCTGAAATTCTGCTTCTTACAAATGCAACCCATTTGATGACAAGTGGCTTTGATGCATCTATGTAATGTTCAGCCTGAAATCTGGAAGTCCAAGACACTACCCAAGAGCTTAAGTCCAAATTATCCTGTTAAAAGATTTCTGCTGGAGCCCTGGCAGACTTTTCAGGGCTGCAGGTGCTGCTGTAGTCCCAGCCATTCTCCATTTATGCTAAGACTAATTCTTCAAACTAGTATTTGAAAGATTTTACTGCTAAGAGTACGCTTCCAAATTCACAGTATTTTTTTTTCCAATTACAGTTGTTTCACAGCAGAACTGAGTCAGCTCACCGAGGCCTAGCCCCTCTGCTCCACGCTAAAAAACCTGCATGATGTGCACAAGCAGTCCCTCAGCGTGACCAGAACAGCCGAGATCTCGTAGCTGCATCTTATTTTAAAACACTACTTTTAAATACTTGGAAATAATTAGTTTGACAAACATGTTCTTGTTCTCTCCGGTAACGATTTTTGGACCTTTCCCTTCCTTGAAGCCATAACCTGCATTTCTAAACGTGTGTCCTGAAAAAACATGACACACGCAGGTAACCGAAATTAACCGCTGAAATAATACCTGAAACCAAGCTGCAAATGTTCCCTTCCATCCAAACGCGCGACACCTTAATTAATGGTGGGACAGAAGTTAATCCTAACGAGCCTACCGGGGAACCGAGGACGTGCCCAAGACCCGCCGGGCCGCCCGCTCCCAGCCCGGCCCTGGCGCTGCTGCCCCCGCCACAGGCACGGCGCTCCCCCGTCCCCCGAGC